CTCCTTTCCCCCTCATGTTATTCTCCGAGGGGATCCTGCCCATCAGTTCCCTGAGGGAGTCAAAGTCTGCTTTTCTGAAGTCCAGGGTCCGTATTCTGCTGCTCTCCTTTCTTCCTTGTGTCAGGATCCTGAACTCGACCATCTCATGGTCACTGCCTCCCAGGTTCCCATCCACTTTCGCTTCCCCTACTAATTCTTCCCGGTTTGTAAGCAGCAGGTCAAGAAGAGCTCTGCCCCTAGTTGGTTCTTCCAGCACTTGCACCAGGAAATTGTCCCCTATACTTTCCAAAAACGTCCTGGATTGTCTGTGCACCGCTGTATTGTTGTCCCAGAAGATATCGCGATGATTGAAGTCCCCCATGAGAACCAGGGCCTGCGATCTAGTAACTTCTGTTAGTTGCCAGAAGAAAGCCTTGTCCACCTCATCCCCCTGTTCTGGTGGTCTATAGCAGACTCCAACCACGACATCACCCTTGTTGCTCACACTTCTAAACTTAATCCAGAGACTCACAGGTTTTTCTGCCGTTTCATACCGGAGCTCTGAGCAGTCATACTCCTCTCTTACATACAATGCAACTCCCCCACCTTTTCTGCCCCGCCTGTCCTTCCTGAATAGTTTATATCCATCCATGACAGTACTCCAATCATGTGCACTGCAGGCCCCAGTTCCCAACCTCACGGAAATGCCTCTGCCCAGCCCAGGGATACCCCGCGACCAGGGCAGGAGAATTTCCAACTGCTCAAAGCAGCTCCCAGGGGCTACCAGCGTCCCCGAAGGTGGGATCTGGCCCTGGGTGTCCGGTTGGGGAAGGGAGTGAGGGAGGAATTGGGTCAGACTCACCCCTGGGCTTTAGCTGGTTGAGAGGAACCGAACCCATCCCAATTGCAGGGTCAGTTTGGATTGAGGTTCCATTTAACCCAGAGCTGGGGGAGGCTGAGGGCAGGTCACCCTCCAGGCCTATCTCTAGCTGATAGGCTGAGTGATGCTGAGCTGAGATCTCAGGGCCTGGGGCTGGGGTGCTCAGGGCCTGTCTGTTGGTTACCAGGGTAACACTGGCCCCTTCCCAGCCCCCTGCAGCTCCGGGGGTAATAATCAGCTGCCTGCCTCATGTCAACGCTCTGCAGGTGTGCGCCATCGGATCTCCAACCTCCTGCGGCTGGCAGACGAGGGAGGCCACAAGGACATCGCGGCAGGCATCATGCAGGCAGCCAGGGTCCAGCCAGCTGCTGTGGCCTCCCTCCTAGTCCAGATCCTCCAGCAGGACGAGGTAAGGCAGCTCCGTTAGTCACACACAGCAAAGGATAATGCCCCCAAGCACTGTGTGTCTCACCAGGACACTTCCTGCTCCTCCTTATGTTGCTGTGAGCAGTTAAACAGTGCTTGTCCTGCCCAGAGGTGGCTGCACTTCAGTGGCGGGTGAAGTGACACCCACAGACGAGGACCAAACGCTGCCAGCCGTGCAGTTGGAGCCAGTGGGCTGCTGGTGTCAGAAGAGTCGGGATTGTCCCAGTGTTTGGAAATCACTTTGAGTCCCACCCCCATGGAAGGAGCTTTAGAAACAAAGGGCCACATCCTGCTCCGGGTTCCAGCCGCTCAATCTGGAGTGACTCCATGCACTCCAGTGGGGCTACTCTGGATTCACACCGCGTCACAGGCAGCAGACAGTGGCCAAAGGGGTTGATTTGAATGTGGGTGCATTATCCCCCAAGCTCCTCATGGCCTATTGGTGCCAGGTGTTGGGCAGTCAGGGCCTGACCCTGAGCCCCGTAATGCAGGGGGGATCCGCAGGGAGTCCCCGGAGGTCCCTGGTGTAAGTGGGAGCTGAATCCAGCCCAGCTTCACACATGCTGCCATTTCCTGGCCTGACTGGAGCCCTGCGGGCATCCCTGGGAGCTGGCTCTGTGTCCCAAGCCGCAGGCCACTTTCCACTGACCTCCCCCTGCCCCTCGGCTCTCCGCCCCAGGTGTCTGTCAGGCAGAAGGTGGCGGCATATGAGGGCCTCAGGACCATGCTGCTGGAGCAGGGGATGGAGGCAGGACTTATCGGCAGCCTCATTGCAGTGGCCTCCCAGCAGATGAGGGTGGCTCCAGAGGTGAGTAACTCTCCCAGGGCAGCTACAGGGGACTCCCGTGGTGAAAGCTTCCCTCCGTGGGTCTGGGGGAGCCGAGCCCCAGGCCCCACGTGGGATACAGGCCTCTGGAGAGGGCTCCCAGCTCCCTCAGCAAGAGCCGCCCCTGGGCCCGTATGGATCCTACCAGGAGATGCACCGTGCTAGGCACAGAGACCAGAAGAGGGGGCGGCCCACAGCTCCCCCGAGAACCTCCCCTGAGCCAGAGGCTCCTTCAGGGGACACAGAGTGAGCAGGTGCAGCGCCAGTAGGGTCGTACCAGGCTCCCATCTGGGGTGCGCGGGTGCAGTGCCAGTGGGGTTGTGCCAGGCTCCCATCTGGGGTGAGCAGGTGCAGTGCCAGTGGGGTCAGTGGGGTTGTGCCAGGCTCCCATCTGGGGTGCGCGGGTGCAGCGCCAGTGGGGTTGTGCCAGGCTCCCATCTGGGGTGAGCGGGTGCAGTGCCAATGGGGTTGTGCCAGGCTCCCATCTGGGGTGCGCGGGTGCAGCGCCAGTGGGGTCAGTGGGGTCGTGCCAGGCTCCCATCTGGGGTGCGCGGGTGCAGTGCCTATGGGGTTGTGCCAGGCTCTTATCTCAGGTGAGCAGGTGCAGTGCCAGTGGGGTCAGTGGGGTTGTGTCCTGTCACACCAGCTCTGCTCACCCACAGGATCAGGTTCAGGGTAAAATGCCTCTGCCCAGAGGAAAAGCCCAGGAGTTTGCTTGGAAGAGCCACATCCCCTGCTCCAAAGAGACGTCTGACCGGGGCCTCCTGTCTGGGGTGGGGCCTCTCCAGGGCACTCTCTGGGCTGGGGCTGAGATTTTCAAAGCCCCCTAGGGGTTTTAGACACACAAGTCCCATTGGGTTCAGAGGAGTTGTATGTAAATCCCCTTGGTGGCTCTGAGAGTCTTGGCTCTTGGCCTGAGACGATGCGCCGATCCCAACGGTGGCTTCAGACAGGCTGGAAGAGGGGCACTTACAGGGCTGCATGTCGGGGTGCTCGGGCCCGGTGGGACAGCTTCACTGAAGGGAGAAGGCAAGGGGGGAGGTCACCCAGGAAGAGGAGGAGACCCATCCTAGGCAGAGGCCATACCAAATAGTCTCTTCCTTGCGGGGTCAGTAGCTCTCATGGTGTTCGGAGAGGGCCCCCTCTAGTACCTGAGCCCCTGCCACCTCAGCCAGGGCACGTTCCCCACCTGGGGGCTGGTGCCCTTATGCCCCCCCGGCTCTGGATTGCTAATGGGCTCTGCCATTCCTTCTGCAGGAGGCCTTGAGCGAGCTCCAGGCGGCTGCCAGTGATACCTTGGCCGCCCTTGCTGGCAGCTACTTCGGGCCGGTGATGCGGGAGCTCCAGAAACACCTGAGGCCCTTTGTGCTGCCAGCGGAGTTCACCCTCCTCACCCTGGGCAAGGTCATGGCGGCCAGCGGTACGGTACCACCCCATCCCTCGCGTGGGCCCATTGCTTCGGGGTTCTCGCACCCTGCAGTGTCCCTGGGCCTGCAATTGGCTGAGAGCCGGTCCCTTCCATCTCTGATTGGATCTTCTCTCTGTGCAGTGTACAGGTGCGTCCCTTTCCTGGGCATCACCCTGACCACCATGCAGACTGTGATGCGAGGGATAGAGGACAGCAGGAGACGAGGGGCCTTCTGCACCGGTGAGGGGACCACTTGGGCCAAGCTTTGTTCTAGATGCTGGGTAGAGATGGAGCTGGTTCGGCCCCAGATCCCGGCACCCCATGACCCTGGGATTGAACAGCCCTGGACTCTGAGTGTGTAACCCGGATCCAGACCCCAGCGTTGCCTCTTGGCTCCGTCTCTAGTCTGTGGAGGTGGAGGAAAGGGAGGGAGAGTATGGTCTGGACGCCTGGGTTCTCCTCCCTGCTGGGGGAAGGGTGGGCTGGCAGGTTAATTCATTGTCACGGATGCGCTCCACTTACTCTGATGGTGGGAGCCATAGAAACACCTGTACATTGAAGGCAGTTTTTAGCGGAGCTCTTGGTTCCCTCCAGTGTCTTGGGGAAAGGGTGTGTAGGTGTCGGATCTCAGCACACTGACGGGGCATCACCATTGGCTCATGGCATCAGGGCCAGGGCTTGTCTGTCACGCCTGCTGCCTGCAGGGACTCCTGTCCTGCCCCGAGGACCCTCACTTAGGGATGCCAATTTGGTTGAATGTATTCCTGGAGGTTTCATCACATGATATAATCTTTAATTAAAGATTAATCTTTGATTCCTGGAGGTCCAGGGCAATCCTGGAGGGTTGGCAACCCTACGTCACTGTCTGCGGAAACCCACGTGTCCTGGCCGCTGGCGGCTGCAGCAAGAACCTTGGGAAGGAGGGGGCGGAGTCTGCAGCATGAACCCCAGGGGGCAGGGGGCGGAGTCTGAACCCCAGGGGGCGGAGTCTGCAGCATGAACCCCAGGGGGCAGGGGGCGGAGTCTGAACCCCAGGGGGCGGAGTCTGC